CCCCCAAAGAAAAACCCTCTTATTTCCAAATACCCCACCACCCAAAAAAATGTTTCCTTAGCTGTTCAGTTAACGTGAGTACTAATCAAAGGCAGAAAACAATAAAATTACGTCACAGAAAAATAGCCAGCTGAATGACGCCATACCTGAAAGCAGATACGTTTGGAGTAATCGATGTCCATTCGCCGGAAGACACAGGAGAGCTGCTTGAGGGCGCCACATCCGCGCTGGAGACACTGACTTTGCAGGGCCGTCACCAGCGTCTGGGCGTGAGGCTCAAGCTGGGGCTTTGTACTCATGATGTCACACAAAGTGGGCGTTCCCACCAAGCAGTGGGGCTCTTTTCACTCGTTACAGACAGATGTATTCCCAGCCCCACCGGGTGAAAGAGACTGGAACTGGAAGCTGCTGATCTCACGTCTACGAAGCTGCTGCTTGTGACTGAGGTAGATGGCCAAAGGAGGATGCAGTGCTCCAAGAGATGTGTTGGATTGGAAACGAGTTCAAACAGTGTCTGGAATGTACAAGCAGTCCGGTCGGCGTCCAGTCACGAGTTGCAGTTATCCTACTCTTGCACACACATGAGGATCAAGGCACTTTTGTCAATTCTGAAGTGTTTTTCTTTTGTTTTGGTTTTTGGGGTTTTTCAGGTTTTGATACTTTGAGAAGGAAAAAGCAAAGACGTTTAGAAAAAAAACCTATACCTTTAGTACGTTAAATAGAAACAATCAGTGGAAAAAAACGAGCAACCTAATTGCATACTTGTTTCCGTTCTAGCGACATCTACCAACCGATCATCACTGCAAACTTTTAATTCATCTACAATAATTAGTGACTTCATATTAATCTATACTAATATACGAAAACCCTAGATATTCAAAACGATAAAAGGGAATTGTGTTTCTCTCAAGTTAAGTACCATACCGCACACGACGTTATAATGATGTTACAGCGTCGATAGTCTACAAATCAGGCTACCGGTCTCGTAATCCTGAGGTTGCCGGTTCGGGGGATTCAAGGCTCTGCTCGGTCCCACGTTGGGAAAAAGCTGTTTACATGACTTTTCTCGTTTGGTTTTTAATTTTAATAAGATTTTAGGGCGCTCGCAACTGCATAAGGATGAGCGCCACGGGGTGGATGTCAACAGAGAAGTCCAAACGCAGAATCAGGCTTATTCTGCTCACCTCTCTGGCCTAAACAGCACAAGGTCTGCTTCGACTATCAAGGAAATAGCAGTTCACAAGAGAGTAAAAAAAACATACAAAAGAAGTAGAGGGAAAATGACGATAGTAAGGATGAGAAAAGAAAAGGCAGCAGTTCCCCTTATGCTGCTTCGGCACAGTATGAGCATGACAATAAACCAGCCCATTCACAATTCTACTGTGCAAAAGAACAAGTTAATATCCCCTCTTTGGGAATGGCCTAAAGACACTCAGTCAGTAGCACTGCCC